TTATGGCTGCCTCCATGTCCTGATTCATTTTGACTTTCTAGAAGAGCCAGAAGTAGCCTGGTGCCAGATCTGGTGAATAAGGTAGCTGAGGACACACTGTAATGTTTTTATTTGACAGAAACTGCCATATACCAGAAGCAATGTGGGACGAAGAGCATTTTCATGATGGAGGATGATATACAGCATACTTTAAAACACACCTTCTCTCAACCGTAACTCACACCCAACTGACAGCACCAAACAAGTGGAAACTTGTTACCCACTCTTACTAAATTCGACTCGCCACTTCCCATATTGAAGACCCCATGCCTTTCTGTTGGATGGCACTCGGCAGCAGCATTCCCCGTATTTTGTGATCACAACGGAAAGGCTTCATATCACACATCACTTCTGGTATAGCAATTTCTGAAAACATTACAGTGTGTCCTCATCCACTTTATTCATCAGATCTGGCACCATACTACTTCTGGTTCTTCCCCAAAGTCAAAATCACCATGTAAGGTAAACATTTGGAATTGATTCAGGGCATTGAAGCAGCCACGGCAGCAAAGCTAAAGACATTCACGAAAGAGAACTTCCAGAACTGCTTCAGAAAGTGGCAAGAGTGTTGGAAGTGAGGTGGCGTATTTTGACAGGGATTAATGGCAATGTGTCTTTTACTGTAATAATTTTTCTAAATTTAAACATTCACCATATTTGTTGATCACACCCTATATACATGTACAATATCATATAAAACATATAGAAAGAGAGAGAAATAGAGGGTGCAATTTCCGGAATAACATTCAGCTAATATTAATTTAAGGTATTTATCGGGGGTAGGATTTCGAATGATATTTTTTTACATTCTTCTTTGTACTTTTCTGTATTGCTTGAATTTAAAAAAAATGAGTGTCAGTTGAAAAAGCAATAATTTCCAAACTTATTATGATACTGCCATAAGAACAGAAATACAGATAAATGGAATAAAATTGAGAGTCCAGAAATAAACTCTTACATTTATGGTCAATTGATTTTCAACAAGGGTGTCAAGATAATTCAATGGAGGGAAATAATAGTCTTTTCAATAAGTGGTCATAAGAAACTGGATCTTCACATGCAAAAGAATGAAGCTGGACCATCTACCTCACACCATATACAAAAACTAGCTCAAATCGATAAGAGACCTCAATGTAAGAGTGAAAACTATAAAACTCTTTGGAGAAAACGTTGTATTAAATCTTCATGACCTTCAATTAGGTGATGAAGAAAATATTTACAAAGCATAATATGATAAGGGACTTGAATCTAGAATACATAAAGTACTCTTACAACTCAATAATAAAAGGCAACCCAAATTAAAAAATCAGCAAAGGTTCTAAATAAACATTTCTCCAAAGAAGATACACAAATGGCCAATAAGCACATAAAAAAATGCTCAACATTATTACCGCAAATTAAAACAACAATAAGATGCCACCTCACACTCACTAAGATGGTTATTAAAAAAAACAAAAACAAGTGTTGGCAAGGATGCAGAGAAACTGGAACCCTTGTGCTTTGCTGGTGAGAATGTAAAACGATGCAACCGCTGTGGGATACAGTAAGGCAGTGCCTCAAAAGATTGAATTACCATATAATCTAGCAATTCCATTTTGGGTGTATACTCAAAATAATGGAAAGCGGGGACTCAAACAGATATTTGTGCACTAATGTTCACAGCAGCATTATTCACAAGAGCCAAAGGCATAAATAACACCACATCCATCAACAGAAGAATGAATAAACAAAATGTGTTTTAAAAAAATTACACATACAATGTAATATTAAGTCTTAAAAGGAAGCAAATTCTGACACACGCTTCAACATGGACGAACCTTGAAGACACTATGCTAAGTGAAATAAGGCACAAAAGGACAAATATTGTACGATGCCACTTTATGAGGTCCTAGAGTAGTCAAACTCAGAGAGACTGAAAGCAGAATGGTGGCTGCCAGGGACTAAGGGGAGGGAAGAATGTGGAGTTATTGTTTAATGGATCCAAGTTTCAGTTTGGAAAGATCAAAGCATTCCGGAGATGCATGGTGGTAATGGCTGCACAACAATATGAATGTACTGAACTATATACTTACAAATGATTAAAATGGTAAATTGTATGTATATTCTGCCACAATTTAAAAAGTAAAAATCAAAATAAAAAGAGGAATAAAGTACTGATAACATGCCCACAACATGAACCTTGAAAACATTATGTCGAATGAAGGAAGCCAGTCACAAAAGGCTACATATTGGGTTGTCGGAAAAGTCATGATGTATTTTGTCTATGTTTCTCAAAAGTCATTTATTTATATAAAGAAGAAAAGCAACCAATGATATATTGTCCGTTTTATTTGATAACCTTTTGCCATCTTTCAGTGAGCTTCATAATTCCTCGTTCATAGAAAGACCTGTCTTTATTTGCGAAAAACTGAACAAGATGCTGACTTACTGCCTCATCTGAATTGAATGTTATACCATGCAAGGAGTTTTGAAGACAGCAAAACAAGTGGAGTCTGATGGCACAAGGTCAGGCGAGTATGGTGGGTGTGGCAACACACCCCAACCAAGCTCCAATAATTTTTGACAGGTGATCAAACTTGTGTATGGTCTTGCATTGTTGAGATGGAACACAACTCCTTTACAATTAACAAGCTCTGGACGTTTCTGGATGATGGATTCGTTCAACCTGTCCAATTGCCGACAGTACACATTCGAATTGATTGGTTCCTTGGTAGGAGCTCGAAAAAGATGACACCTTTAAAATTCCACCACACTGACAGCATAACCTTCCTTTGATGAACGTCTGCTTTCGATGTCATTTGAAGCGAATCATCATGTCGGGACCAAGATCGTTTGTGCACCACATTGTTGTCAACAATCCACTTCTCGTCACCAGTTATCAGTCGCTTCAAAAAAGGATCGTTTTCCTCACATTTAATGAGCATATTGCAGATGTTTATATGCATCGTCAAATGAACTCTGAGTTCATGTGGAACCCAAATATTGAGCTTGCTTATGTATCCCAGCTTCTTCAGGTGGTCGTGAATGCTTGAATGATGGATGTTTCTGCAATCTCTTGTGTTGTGTAATGTGGGTTCGACTCAATCAATGCCTTTATTTTGCTGTCATCAACCTCGGTGGGCCTCCCTGACTGAGGAATGTTGTTGAGATCAAAATCACCAGCACAGAATTTCGTGAACCATCGTTGGCACTGACGTTCTTGTAGAGCATTGTCACTGTAAACTTTATGCAACTTTTCACAAGCTTGACGCACGTTCTTCCCTTTATGGAAGTAAAACAGTAAAATATGGCAACAATGCACAGTTTGGTCTTCCATCTTCAACTTGTTGTAACATCTCCAAAACTCAACCAAATAGCTCAATTTTTTTAGAATGAAGCTAGAACTGTCAGCTGTCAATGACATAGCAATAACATAGATGCAAATGACTCTAGTACTTCCAAAAATGAACTAGTGCCATCTGTTACAAACATGCATCATGACTTTTCTGACAACCCAATGTTATATGACTCCATTTACATGGAATGTCCAGAATAGGCAAATCCCTAGAGACAGAAACAGGTTAGTAGTTGTCAGGGGCAGCGGGAGGTTGAAATGGGGTTGACTGCTAACGAACATGGGATTTCTTTTGAGGGTGATGGAAATGTTTTTAAATTAGATAGTGGGAACGGTGGCACAACCTTGTGAATATACTAAAAACCACTGGCTTGTACATTTGAAAAAAGTGAATTTTATGGTATGCGAATTATATCTCAATAAAACTGTTATGAAAAAAAACAATAAAGCTATTATTCAAAGAGAAAAACAAAAGAAAAACTGAACGATTTGGTGGAAAAAGCACTAAGTGTTCCACAGAAGTTGAAAACCAGAACCTCAGAGTCACGTAAATGCAATGCACTGATTTAACAATGTAAGATCTTGGTGAGAAGTGGCTTTTAGCGGTAGGAATTTGGGCTAATCAATCAACCAAGCATGTAAGACTTTTGAGCCACTTTTCAAGTTGCCTTTCCAAATGTGTTTAGGAAAACCCTCTTTTCCCTCAACGAAAAGAATAAGAAGACTTTACAGATGAGGACCAGCCATCTAGTCTTGTTACACTCACGCTTTTGCCTCCATATGTTCAGATTATACATCCTTTACATCTAACACTGTGGACAATGTGAGCTCAAAACTGTACATGAGCACAAATGGCAAATGGCAAAAGTACCCATCAGTCCAATCTGTGTTGGGCTGCACTCTCTATTACCTGTCACTTACAAGCACTGTTTTCAGAGCCGGTCCCTCTTTGTTACACTTTCTTGCTATGCTCAGCTTGGCCTCACACCTGAATAAGCTGACAGGGTCTTTCTCTGAATATTTCAGTACTTTCTTGTTATTAATCTATTTGCTTATTAAATATATATGGTGTACATACTGTGTGCCAATCATACACGCAGTACTGGTGAAATAATGAGACTGGTCTGGGCTTGATGAGTGTATACATAGAATAGAGGTGATAGAAAAAACCCAAAAAAACAAATAGGCCCATAAATGAAAATATAATTATAAATAATGCAGTGACAATGAAGGTAATGAATAACAGGGCGGATGCCTATCTTCTTAGCTGGGGTGACTGAGACTGTGGCATTCAAGCTGTGATAAAAGGAGAGGAAGGCTCTAACCTTGCAAAGATCATTCCAGGTAGAGGAATAGCAGGATTGTTTTGTTTTTGTTTTTAAGGTCGCTTGAAATGCAGCTATCCACATCACTGTGCACAGGACAGCTTTGGGTCACTGACTGACCCCACACTATAGGGGTCACTCTTCCTGAAACACTTCCCATGTCCACCTCATTAACTTCCCATTTTTCCTGTTGCATTAAATCATAAATCTTTTCTCTGCTATTTAATACTCACATAATTTAGTCCCCACATGTCACACCCCCTCCCACTGTACATTATGGACTCACTAGGACTCATAATTACCTGGGAAAGAATCAATTGCCCATGAAATGTGAGCACAAATTTTCTTAAAAATGAAAGATAGGTGTCATCTCCAAGTCTTCTGGCAAGAAATCGGAGAAGGAAATAGCCCTAGAAGAAAGAAGAAGAAACAAAAGATGCCTATCATGGGTTCATCAGGTAAATGCTTACACAGTTAACTCTAACTTACCTGCCAGTACTTTATGCACATCTAGAATGTTCCATCTGATGTGTCCCAGGCTGCCCTTTATATTCTTACCAGGAAGGTTGGGCCTCGAAATTAAGGATCAACTACAATACTTTGCTTTCAATTCATCAGTTGACAGTATCTCGGTTTTCATGGTTCATATGAAGCCTGGATGTCCATCATGGACCCAAAGTGAAGAGGGGCCCAACTCCTCTCTCCCTCTGCTATTAAGAAAGGCCTTTACAACTGAAAATACGTCCTTCTCATTCCTGTATTCTAGTTGGAACCCGACAATTTCAAGATCCTGCACTTTAAAGCAGACAGAAAGGGGCTACAGGGCAGGAAATAGTTCAGCTTCCTTTGATTCATTCATGCCTCATTTTTTGGATATGAAGTGCTTTAATTATTGGACAATCAGATATTCCTACCCAGTCAAAAGTCATTACAACGTTGATGATTTTGTTTTGCCCCAACCATTACTAATCTTCATTGTTTACGTGTATAACCTGAAAAAATGCCGTACTCTAATAATGGACTTCTGCCACTTACACGCACTCACCTTTAAGTAATGAACCTGCATGAAGACCTTCTCCGGATTGAGCCCATGTTTGATGACAGATGATCCTGAGTCACTCACACAGCCAGTTTTCTCTTTATTGGGTCTAAAATGACACAGTGAAATTTTCTTTAAGTATAGCACATTCTTAACTAATTAGACCATATCATCTGAGTTCTTATTTTCAGAGTTGCTCAATAGTGTCTTAATTCTATTCAACTGTACCAGGTATGATTTAAAACAGTTTACATTATAAATGCCTATACTGAACAAGGAGGGGTTTATATTTGGGTTGGCAACTTGAGATTGGCTATTGGCAATATTTTATATCATCTTATCCAAGATTAAAGCTTGCCAGACCCTCTAGGAATCTAAGCTCCAATATGAATTATTTAAGAACCTATGTGCTTGTGTTTTGGTGGGAATGATGAACTGGGAAATGCAATGGAAAATACAGCTTTAGTTGGAAGAGTAAAGAACATATCTTTTTCCAAAAATTTTGAAAGCCCAACGTTTTCCACTTCTCTTGATTTGCATTTAGTAAGTAAGGCACCCTTTAGAAATATTTGTCCTCTGACGCCATTTCAGAATCACAAAAACAAAAGTCATAGAAGCCCATGTTTTTAGAACGGGTGGGGACATTAGTAACCACAAGCTTCAACCTTCTCATTTAACAAATGAGGGAAATAGAGGCACACAGGAATTAAGTCTGCATCGGAGGTCTCACGGCTTGTTTTGATTTGTGGTGACATTAGGGCTGAAACCAATGTCTTGTTATTTATCAGAGTGTTTTCCATTATGCTGTATGGTTTTAAACATTTTTAAGAAAAATTCCTGTAAAAAAAAAATTGTGTTACAGTGGTTTCAACAACTAGCTGAAATCAAAATATGTGACAAGATATTTGCAGCTTTCGGCTGTTCTAAAGCCAGTCACTTATTGGACAAACACTGAAGAACATGTGTTGGGGTGAGTGGAAGGCAAGGGCCCACGAGAGAGACCAGTGGGCATTTTAAAGGCAGCGTGGTGCAGTACAGGGGGTATGGCCTTTGGAATCCAAGAGATCCAGTGTTGAATCCCAACCCTACTTCTTACACCTGTTACTATCAGGTTAGTTAAATTCTCAAATCCTCAATCCCTAGCAAGGGCTAGGGATACAGAAATTACAAATTAACTTAATAAAATATTCTAACATTGTTAGCAATAAATATTGCTAAATTCAAGGTTGGTCAACGGATGTTAGAGGCAATGTGTATATAGGTTGTTCTTTCATTTAATCCCATATGTCAGCAGACATAACATGTAAGGATGTTGGACCTCAATGGCAATGCCTGAGGATGACCCAGCTGCCAAATCAGTCCCTTGGCAGTGTGTTCCAGCAGCCAAGCAAAGATTAAGTCTCTGATTCTCTGACAAATATTCCAGTACATTATCCCAGCAGACACAGGCCTGGAGCCAGCAGATACCTAAAGGAAAGGTGACGACCAGCCGCTAGAGCAAACTGCATATTTTTAATTTTTCTACTTGATCCC